CATTCATTTTGAATTAGAAAATCTATGTAGCTCTCAATCTCTACTGGCGCTAACGAGGAAGACTTCTGCTAAATGAATTGGCGGTATACCTCTCCGAATCTCCCCCACCAGATCAAATTAGCGGTACGTGTTACCTCCTGTTTAATTTTCGATAAGTTACATCCCGCCGAGCCAACCGGCGGCATAAACATATGCTATTAACCAGGAGCGGAGCGTCTTGGAGGACGTTGGCCACTTGGCCTTGGCCCCTATCTTCTGATGAAGAAAAGAAGAATACTCCATCCGTTCCAAAATAAATAACATTTTTTTTTATTTTAAGACTTCTTATTTGACCGTTCGTCTTATTCAAAAAAATTGTATAAATATTATTTATTTTGTTATGACTTATTATATCATTTGAGATACTTTAATACTGACTTATTTATTTAATTATTTACACAAAAGAATTGAATAAGACAAATGGTCAAACAAGAAGTGTAAAAGTAAAAAATATCACTTATATTTGGGACGGAGCGAGTACCGTATTTTGTAAAGTCTGCATGAAACACTTATTTTGGGACGGATCGAGGGGCACATTGGCGGATGAAAAAATCTTTATTCCGATTGATTTTGAGAGAAAAATATACATTACAGCGAGAACGTGAGCAGTAATTTTGAGAGTGAGAAACCACCCAGCCACTGGCTTAAAGTAGAGTGAGTACTTGTACTTTGTAGAGTTTGCAGGAAACATTAGCCGTGACAGATGCCATGACCACAAAAAGGAGAAAAGAGCATGGAAAGCCGTGCATGTTCTGAAATGAGACCCTCCTTAGTTTCCATTCACCCTCCACCGCTGCCTGTAACAAAACTAACAGCGTGTTTAGTTTCACCCCAATTTCCAAAAAGTTGCTACAGTACCTATCACATCGAATGTTTGTGGCCTGTGCATGAAGCATTAAATGTAGACGAAAAGATAAACTAATTGCACAGTTTGGTGGGAAATTACGAGACGAACGTTTTGAGCCTAATTAGTCCATGTTTGAACACTATTTGCCAAATAAAAATGAACGTACTACAGTAGCCCCAAAATTCAAATTCCTACAACTAAACAAGGGCTAATAAAAAAATCACACGCTTGCAGCCTGACTGTAGAAACCTGGGCCTTCGTACGAGCTTGGCCCAAAAAGAAAGGACGCCGCAACTGCTCGGATGCAAGACGCTATAACGTAACGCCTACCCTTTTTTTCTCATCACGTTCTGACGTTCACACCCCGGAGCCCGGAGTGCGCGCGCTGCGCTCAGCCTCCCTCCCTTCCCCTCTCTAACTCTCTCTCGATCTCGCGCGCGGCGCGGCCTTGCTTTCTGGTGGCGTCGACTGGGCGGCCGCCGCCGCCGCCTCCCTGGTGTCCAGGTCTTCGTCGGTCCCTTGGTGTCTGTCCCTTAGCCTGGTCTTCGTCGGTCCCTCGCCATTCGCCGGCGACGACCACCAACCAGGTATGCCCACCCCTCTGCTCTCCCTTCAAACCGAGCACCCAAACCCTAGCTAACGTAATCTGTCTGGGTTTTTGTACTCGGATCTCATCTAATTACAAGTGTATACATGTCCATCCTACTAACGATGGGGTCCGCTCCTGATCCATAGTGCTGGTGCAACGGATCGTTAGGTTTTGGAATTCGGTGTGTTGTGAACATAGTAAGGCTTCGATTTTGGCGATCAGGGGGAAATGGGGGCGGATGGTTAGTAGTTTTGCGGGCAATTAAGTTCGCTGTATGCAATTTGAGCTGTCACTGTTTTTGCGTGGTTTTTTTAGTGCGAAGTTGTATTTGAGAACGCTTCAGAGCGCAGAATTTGCTCAGCTGCTGAGATTCGTAGACGTTCTAGCTGTTGGTTTTAGCTACGAATGCTGTTTCTGAGGGGCAATACGCAAATTATTTATGTTGGTTTATGATGCTAGTTTTCTGCAGCAGATGATACTTAGTTTGGGGCTGAAATGCTGTGCCCTGTGTGTAACTACTGATTTCCCTTTTAGTATGGCAATAACTCGCGACCTCTAATTTTACTGAGACAAATCCTTTTGTAGTTCGGTGTTGAGGTTAATAAACTGATATCAAACAGAAAACGACCTATTCGAAGCCACAGTTGATCGAGTCAATTCATTTGCTTGCTTGGCTAGTTGGCGTGCTCCATTATATTTGCACTAGCGTGTGCACATGTTTTTGAATAAAAAAGCATATAAAGTTCTCTGCAATAGTTGATTGTCTAGAATGCTGGAATTACTCCAAATATTTATCCAACAGTGTATTTTCAGCTTATTCCTTGCATTTCTCAGAACTTATCTCTGCTTTGGACCTGGGTGACTGAACAGAATTGATGTGAGACCCGAGATAGACCAAAAGGCATTGTTGTTTTTAATCTTATTGGTCAGTAATTTTAGTGCCCTGACCAACATATGCTAGCCTATAAGTAATAAAATATGACAATGGTTTTATGATTGATAGAACTTACAAAATCAGTGTAAACTGGATTTTCTCTGTTTTGAAGGCTATTATCAGTGCACAGCTAGTTACCGTAACCGTAACACATCAGGTCATCTTGCGGCATGGAATTGTTCATGTTAGGAATACCTTATTTAACTCTTTTTACAATCAGAACATTATAAAATCTAGATCGACAAAATGTATGAAAGCCTATCACATCATTTTTACAAAGTTAAATCTTCAGTTATGAGAAAGATGCCATAGTTCTTGCTTTTTTACATACTTGCTAAAATCTGGATTAGATTTTAGGAAGGCATTGTGGCAAGCTGTTCCAGAGTGTTGTTTTAAGAAGACTGATTAGATTGTTATTAAATTAATGGGCTAATAACATATAGCATAAGTGTTTTGAACAATGAAACACTTAAAGGTGAAACTCATGACTACAACATATGTGATACAAAATTAGATGATGTGTTTTGTGGAAGATTTAAAGTAGCTCTGGATAGGACAATTTAGCACAGAATTTTTACTTGTTTTACTCATCAAAATCTTTTGTAAAAAAAACTTTCTGTATTGTGTCCATGGAATTGTGTTATAATGAGCCTCAATGCTGGGCATATAATTCCAGAACTGATTTTATTTGCTCTTCTTAATTATATTGCTTATGAAATTCTGTGCCTTCACCTTCAGACTTGTCCAAAGGTTGAGTAGCGAACCACTGGTGGTCCTGAACATGTTTTCACTTCTCAATATGTAATTCGTATAGTTGGGCTCAAAGGACCAGTCACTGAGGAAACTCCCACTAAGTTAGTCACACTAGAAAATGGTACATGCTACCGTTAGGTGTACCACTGAAGGGAATGAAATTGTTTATCTTTATATCCGATTACTAAACAAGTGAGTTCAATGGATAATATAAGCGTTTATCTGGTTTTATCTTTTCCTCTTAAGTGACACACTTCGCCATTGGCCAATCTGTCAACGTTGGTCCTTCCTACCACTGAAGGGAAAGATATTATTGATGAATAAAAGCATCTCTGTGATGTATGACCCAATGCAGTGCAGTATAAACCTATGTAGCAGGAACTTGAATAAAACTGCTTGTATTTGTTTCAAAAATACAAACTGTTGCTTCATTATTCACTATTTTCTTGTTTGTCTCATGTTAATATTTAATCTTGCTGTTAGATATGCCTTTTTTATTGAAAAATTCAAGTCTTGGTGGAGGTCATGCTTTCGTAATACAAACTGTTGCTTGCTTCATTATACTATGTTATCGACAGTAGTTCCTTGTTTCTAAGAAAAGATGTGTACTGTTCTGTAGTAAGACCTAAAACTATTGCACTCAAAGAAGATAAATGCCCACACCAGTACACCACATGTCAGTGATTTTCAACATATATTGATCTTGCTTTTTTTTTATGATGCTTCCTATGTAGTCTTAATCCATTTCCAGTTGGATTTAGTTCTGGGATATGAATAATGCACTAGCCGTTTATCTTTGTTTTTCTTTTTCATCTCTTAAGTCTTATTTCCCTGCCTGTAGGCTCAACTGCTCTGTAGTTAATCTAATAATTTCTAGAAACAAAATGAAGTGCAATGCTTGCTGGCGGGAGTTGGAAGGGCAAGCTATATCAACCACCTGTGGTCATCTTTTATGTATGGTTCCACTCTACTACCTTCTCTCTGATGAATTAGGTCCCGATTCTAAATAAGTTACTCTCTAATTATTACAGAATACACAATTTAATGTAGCTGGTAATTGCTTATTTAGCAGGTGCAGACGATGCCAAGAAAATACTCAATAATGATGGTGCATGTCCAATTTGTGATCAGGTGCTCTCAAAAAGGTCAGTTCCTATTTAATGGTGCATTCATTATTTGATTGTGCATGGTTAATGGTGTCATCTTTCCTGTATGAATGTCTGATACCTAATCATGCAAGCATATTTCTCATGTCTCCTCTCTGTGTGATATTTAACTGTGCCAAAGCATGTCAACCAAACATACATGATTGTAGCGCATGTTATTGAGCATTCTTCGGTTGTTTTAATACTGTGTATGTTCAGGCAAAAATTAACTTGAAAATTTTGGTTCATTTCCTTTTTACAGCCATATGAAACCTATGGATATAAATCCAAGTGACGATTGGACAAATGTAGGTATCCCTTTGATACATAATAACAGCTAGAAATTAATTTTCCTTCTATCCATCTTTTCTGATGAATGTGCTCATGGCAACAGATGGCGATGGTTGGAATATCCCCACAAATACGTATCCTTCATTTCCCATTAACCTTTCACTACATCCATAGTGGGCTTTGTCTTGTACTGCTTTTTTTGATAGCATAGTAATCTGCATTTTCCAATCTATGCCTAATTACACTACATAACATGTTTAAGTAGCACTATTATGCAACCAATCTTAGAGCATAAATGGGGAACTTGGTAAAGCATAACAATGGCATTACTTTTGTGACCTGTGTCTGCTTAAGAAGTTCGGTAGGTATCTTGCTTTTCCTTAAATATGATGAAAATCAGTTATGAAGAGTGCATACAGAAGCGTAATGTTCTACATTGGACAAAAGGAACTGGAGATGCAGTACAAGATGAACAGAATTGTCGGTCAATGTAGGCAAAAGTGTGAACTTATGCAGGCAAAATTTACTGAGAAACTGGAAGAAGTCCATACCGCATACCAGAAGATGGCCAAAAGATGTCAGTTGATGGAGCAAGAGAATGAAAACTTGAACAGAGATAAGCAGGAGCTGCAAGAAAAATTTGCTGAGAAATCCAGGTTAGTAATGTGCCAGTATTCTGTTGGCTCTTTAGAGGAACAAATTATGTTCCATCCTGTATGTATGAGGATTCATGGTGTCCTAATCCTATCCAGGCAGAAGAGGAAGCTTGATGAGATGTATGACCAATTGAGGAATGAATATGAGTCGCTGAAGCGTTCTGCCCTTCAACCTGCAAATAACTATTTAGCAAGACCTCAGCCAGACCTGTTCGCAGGCATGCCCAACATGATGGATGGTGACAACCATCTGAGACAAGGTAACTTAAAACTTCTGTGCACACAATTTGCTCTGTTCATTATGTCTGGTTCTATCATTATACTTTTGCTCTGTTCGCACAAACTACTTTTGTTATGCATCAAAGCCTCAATTATGTTGGGTGCAACGCTTTGATTCTTTATACTGTACCTAGAAACTATGTTAGGTCTCCACAAAAACAGCTCATTCACTGGTTGCAGGATCGGTTGATCTTCCTAAAACTCCAGGGCAGAGAGATGAGGGCTGGGGTCCACCACCAAGGCAACGTCACTCCACCTCCGGCCCCTTTGAGCTGTCTACGGGGTCTCCTGCCCATGCCATGGCTCCTCCGGCTGATATCAGGCCCAGACAGCAGACACGGCCCGTCTTTGGAGCTACAATGAACAATCCATCCAGCGCCCTGCGAAACTTCATAATCTCGCCTGTCAAGCGTCCCCAGGTGTCCCGTAACCGCCAACACATATTCACGTAATGTTCTCCCTTTTGCTCATGCATACCGGAAGCAGTATTTGTTCAAACTTTACTGACCGCGTGGTTATTGAGTTTCTGCACTGACGGATCAAACCTTCAAACTGGTGTTTCAGGCTGTAGAGAGTGGGAATAGCTGACGGCCGGGGTGCTCTGCATTGGAAGTTAAATTGTCGGAAGCTTGCCGTGATCCTGTAAATTCTGTAAGATGAGACAGCCGCCCTCCCTCACTCTTAGTCCAAGCCTTTTGGTATGGTGTTTCTTGGTGTTGCGAATGTTAGGGGACATCCCTTGGAGAATGGATATATGGTTGGTTATGCTAGAAACCTCTTATACGCAGACTCTGTCCATTTCCACAGTTACATGCATAGCAGGAAGTTTCATCTATATCTATACCCCTAATCGAGCCACAACTGTGGTTAACATTTTTTCTAACTCATCTGAATCTGATCAGACCAAGTAATCATGTGCACTGATTGAGGACCTAAACGAGTTGTTTCGTGGTTTGGAACTGGAATTACTTGATGTTGTCCTAAATAAACTCCAAGTGGAGTTTGCCTCTTGTCTTGATTTCCATAATATCATCACCTGGGAGTTGGAAACCGATCGATAACTATATATTCAAGGGTTCGAAACAGTTAGCACAGGCGCCAGTAGCCGCTGTCCGCAGGGAACGTGCAGGGTGGCATCAGGGATCCGCCTTCGCGGCCGCCGCCGGTGAGGAACCGCGTGAAGTCGAAGTCAACCTCACCACCGCCTTCCATTCGGTGCGCCTCTCCGCTGCTTCATCACCATCGCCGCTGCCCAGCTGGCCGCGGTCACTGTCAGGAAGCAACCTCGCACTCTTGACGGGCCGGTCCAGCCCCTGCCCCACTGCCCGCGTATCTAATGTACGATATGCCAAGGCCCAGGTACGTGGCGCCAGCCTAGCTTTCCTTAGCTTAATCTACGAAGCACGGTGCAACACACTAGCACGCAGTTCGCATGTTTGGGCTGGGTCGTGTGCCACTATCGCTCACGACATGCATGGCCATCCGTTTCCTTCGTCCGCCCTAGGCCGACCGTTCCTCACCTCACCAACGTCGCAGCCATCGCTGGAGCCGTTGTCACCGTGGTCCGTGGGGGGTATGTGCCTATGTGGTGGTGGTTTGGCGTGCCGCGACGCAGCACGTGAACCTGCCCTGGTTCATACAGGTGGTGAATAACTCGTCCGACGTGCTGGAGCCTGGTGTGCACGGTGCCGAGCTCAACGATTGGGCCAGCAACAGGCGTAGCATCGAGCGCATCCGTGCCTCGTTGCCCTCAGCTGCTTGACCTGAATGAGAAATGCACATACAGCTAGTTTTGAAAATTTAGGGGGAGCAAAAACTGTGTTATCACGGGATGGGGGCGTCAGCCATACCAGCGCAGGAGACGGAGAGGGGCCAATGACATTTGGCGCAATGGCGGTGTAGGTTTCGTAGAGAATCTTGTACGAATGTCCCCCAGCGTGGGCGTCGGCGAGGGCCTTCGACGTGGCGGGGCAGCAGCAGCAGCCTCGAGACGAGGCCCGAGCGGCGACGAAGGCAGGTCCACAGGCGAATCCAGGGGCGGCGGAGGAGGTGGAGGTGGAGGTGGTGGAGGGGGTGGCGGCGGAGGGGGAACCGGCGCCGGTGGTGGAGGGGTGGCGGGGGAGGAGGTGGCGGGGGCGGTGGTGGAACAGAGGGCGGCGGCGTCGAGGGAGCGCCATCGCCAGGGAGCGGCAGATGTCTACGACAGCGAGGAGGAGGTGGAGAGCGACGCCTTCGACGGCTCCTCTAGCTCTGAGTTCTCCTGGGAAGGACGTGCTCACTCTGTGAATGCATGGCTCTCTCCTGGGGGTACGAGGTGCTGGAACGCCTTCTTTTCGCCTACATTGACCCTCCGATCCCTGTTGCTGAGGTCCCCGGTTTCCTCCGGGCGGCTCTAGCGACGGTGGAGCCTCTCATGCCGGTGGAGTTCCTCCCTACCACTCGGGAGCCATGCTTTTTCGCTGCGAAGATCTCATGGCCGGGGACACTCTACGGTACCACAGCCCTATCTACCATGAGGGTGTTCAACTCTCCTCCAACGCCTTTGGACGAATGCTCCAACCGCTTCTACCGCATTCCTCCTGGCTAGCCTACGTGCATGTGCTCGACTTTCCAAGCGAGCAGCACCGCAAGAGGACAAGATCAAGAAAGCTTTTGCGGCTTCTGCGACGTCATTGAGATGACCGAGCTGTCTCTCGCGACAGCAATTTCGGCCCTCTGCGCCTCCTCTTTGGAAGTCAATGAGCGGTGGAGATACCTTACGAGGTCCACGTCTCGCTCGCTTTGGCTGTGGTCGCTTTGGTGGGGTCGCGAGTCATGCCCATCCGAGTGTGGGATCGCTCGGACCAGCTCGACGACGATGCGGCAACTGACCCCATTATTGAGCACGGTCCCGCTCCGCCTCCACTCAGGACCCAAAGAGGCCCCCCTGCTCCTTTCGGCGGGAACAAAGCAGCGCCGACCTCCCCAACACCCGACAAACCCGGCGTTTCCCTCCACCGGCACTGATCTTTGTTATACTGCGCCAGAGGACGCGCGCCGTGAACGCGAACCGGCTCATGTTCTGGCCTAGCACTTGCGGCTGGCTCGGTGTCTCCTAAATGGCGCCTAATCAAGCATTTCGTCCTCGAGCCGTCACGGTCGACTGTCAGCTCCCCTAGGCTGCCAGTCCCTGATGAAGGCGGGCAAGAGCTCCAGGAGGCTGCACCGGCCTCGTCTCCTCCTCACGCCTCCTCTGTTTTCAGCTTTGACTTCGTCACCCGCTTGATTCTTGTGGCTGCGCCGCGGAACGCCGCATGCGCAGCGTGGCCAGGTGTCAGCTGTCTGCACGCCCACGGCTGCAAAGGCGGGCGACGCTACTTCCCCGCTCCCCTCACAGACAACAAGACGCATCATGTTGAGCAGACGAAAGGCGCCGCCGTCAATGTCCCAAACCAAGATGTTCGTCGCAAAGCCTTGGTGAACGCGTTGGCGGGCTGCTCCTCCGCTCTCAAAAAGCAGGTGACTAAGCGTAACATCCTGACCCGCAACAAGATCCCCATGAGCGCCAAGGAGATCCGCAAGCTTGTCTCGGCAGCCACTGCTGGCTGCTCCTCCGCCGCTTCGGTCGGCGTGGCGACAGACGTTGCGGAATGAAGGCCTCGACCATCGCTCTCCGGGACCCGGATCGGGGACGGCCGTCCGGGTTCCTGCTCCAGCGAGGCCAAGCTATCTGCCTTAGTGTTAAGCTCAAGCTTTGTTCGCTGTTCTGTGTTTTTTCTCTTAAAACCACCTTTCATGTAACTATTGATCTGCTACTTGGGTGTCATCTGTTTCTGAAATGAGTCTTCTGAACTCTGGATCAAATCGTTCACTCTCTGTTTTGTCGTGGAATGTGCGCGGCCTAGGCGACCCGGATAAATGCAATGTTGTACGTGATGCAATTTCTTCTGCTAACCCAACTGTTATGTGCGTCCAAGAATCAAAATTGCACAGCATCGATCAGTTCAAAATCAAAACCTTCCTACCCCCTCAACTTGCCTGCAGCTACAAATACATACCAGCCGTCGGGTCCAGGGGTGGCATTGTCATTGTCTGGAGCCAATCTTACTAGTCTTGCTCCGACTTCACTCTCAAAAACCACTCGCTCACTACTCTTCTCGTCAGCACGCTGTCTGACCACTCACTCACTGTCACAAATGTCTACGGTCCGTCAGACCATCGTCACTCTAGCGACTTTCTTCGTGAACTTCATGACCTATCCTCCAATATCAATGGCCCCTGGGTCATCATCGGAGATTTCAATCTTATCCGGTCGGGGGATGAGAAAAACAACGTCAATGTCAACATCCCTCTTATGAACACCTTCAATGACACCATCAACTCCTTGGGGTGATGGAAATCCCACCGCTTGGGACGTAACTTCACGGTCCAACGGCGGGAACCTCAATCTAGCCAAGCTTGATCGAGCCTTTGGTCAACCTCGCCCACACTACTACCTTCCACGATACTTCACTCTCACCTTAGGCAAAGCCAACATCCGACCACACCCGTTGTTTCTTTCCATGTCCACCTCCATTCCAAAATCCAAAGTGTTTTTCGCTTCGAGAATGCTTGGTTGCACCGTCAAAATTTCCTACAAAACTGTCCTTCTGCGTGGAAATTTGAAGCGGCGTGTATGCGGCGATGCGGGCGGGTCAGCTGCTGACTTGTCTCAAGTCGGCTAGAGTCGCGACAAAGGTTTGGGCACGGCGCTTTTGAGGCGCCTCGCCAAATAATTTCCAACTGCAAATTTATTATCCTCTTACTTGATTCATTTGAGGAGGAGCGGGCTCTTTCTTTTGATGAGTTACAGGCACGCAAGACTTGTATTGACTGCCTCGCCCAAGCAATCAAAGAGAAAGCAACTTACTAGAAGCAGCGTAGTAAGTTCCGGGCAATCAGGGAAGGCGATGCAAACACTGCCTTTCATCATGCCCAGGCCACCGTCCGTCTGCGAAACAACACCATCCGATGGGTTGAAGTGCACGGCTCGGTGATTGCCAACCATGACGGGAAAATACAAGCTCTCACCAACTTTTTCAGCTCCATCATCGGCGAACCAGGGACCTCAGCCTGGAACTTTGATGTGCATGCTCTCTTCCATGACAGACAGCGGCCGTCCAGTGAGCTCATCGCTCCTTTCTCTGAATTGGAAGCCTTCGAAGCTCTGAAATCCATGGACAGATCAAGTGCACCGGGCCCCGGCGGTTTCGGACCTTCTTTTTATAGGGCGGCCTGGAGCAGTATAAAGTCGCAGGTCATGGCCTTCCTGCAAGCCTTCCAACAGAGGCAACTGCAGCTAGAGAGGATCAACCGTTCTTACATGGTGCTTATCCCAAAAAAGCCTGGAGCTGTAGCTGTGGACGCATTCAGACCAATATGCCTACAAAATTGCTCCATCAAGATACTTAGCAAAATGCTCACAAGAAGACTG